GGAAGTGGGAGACAAGCCAGCCGGGAACCCGACCACAAGCACCCAGCTTGGGAGACAAATGAAAAGAACTGGGAGACAAATGAAAGGAAGTGGGAGACAAGCCGGCCGGGAACCCGACCAGACCATCCAGCACCAAGGCGACCATTCTTTAAAGCATTGAGAACCCCTAACAGTAAACTGTTTGGGGAAAAAGAAACACACATGACCCGGGAAAGCAGGCGTCGAAATTGATTCCTTAGCCTTCGTTTTGTTGGGATTTTCTCCGCCTTCAGGCCGGAGGCCAAACGGTCCAGGGGTGAACTCTGGTTTCCCACATGTCCAGGTGATTCTGATGGTCTGCTTGGAATCCACTCGCATCTGGCCGCTCAAGGCCCTTCTGATGAAACACTCCCTTGGGCTGCCCCACTCTTCTGAGAGATTCTTTGGTTTCATCTGCAGCTCTGACAGGGCCTTGGTGTGCTGAATCCATCCATGCGCAAGTCACAGTCGATTTGCGTGCCTGGTCCCTTCGAATAAAATCGGCCCGTCACAAACCAACCAAACGAAAAATGATTCGCTCTAAAGTTCTAACCATTCAAACTCTTCTACCTGACAGACGGCCATGGGCCATATTATGTCCAGTCTGTCTGATACTACAACAAACTACACCATTTTGGACCCACCTGCACCATCTGTGCCCCAACCACTTACAGCTGGCTGGTCTGAAAAAAAAGGAAATGATATATAGTAAACCCTCATGCTCCTGACACCACACAAGACTGCAGATGGTAACCTGGTGATAGCATATTATACTATCTGGCAGACATCAAGCAAATATTGAGCGATAGGAATGATGTTTCTGCATGGGGAGAAGCCAAGCCGGATGTTGCACAGAGCTTCTTCAGACGGAGCAAGCTGCTCAGGAAGCTGCTCAGAGGTGCGAAGGGTTCCTTGTCTCGGTGATTCAGCCGCGTTCGACATCTTGAGCCAAACCAGTGATTCACAGGAAGCTACTCCCGACATCCGGTGAGGCTCGCCCGAGCTGGACCAGTGACCTACTCAGCGAGCTGCGATGATGCTTCCCCACGAGCCGTGGATGGGCTTCGTTCGAGCCCGGGTAACCTGACCCATGGTCAAGCAGGCTCTATCAGTAGCTGCTCAAATCGGTGTTCGGTGAGTCTCGACGCCAAATACGCGTTTTTCTGTAGCAGCGATGGTTGGAAGGACAATCCAAGCTGATCCTCAGTTAACAACTTCCAGCCAAGCGTCACCCTTCAGACATGTCTGGAACTCCTCCTCCTCCAAGCCCTCCTGGAGCCAGGGGGTGGCAAAAGAATGGTTATCAGATCCTTTGATCACGCTGTTTTGTCTCATCCCCGAGAAGGAAGCACAGACATCTTGCGCGGTTGGTTCCACAATGCTTTCCTTTTTCGGATCTCCTCCAACCACTTGAAGTGCTCTTCGAAAAAGGCATCGATGCGTGAGCGCACATAGTCCGGAGGGAACTCCGTCTGCACCTCAGTCGTCTGGCATCTACTCGGTTGCGGACACATGCCCCTCCGGGCTTCTCGTGATCCCCGTGACGCCAAACAGGGGGTTTGAGACCCACCCCGGATAGATGCCGTGAAGAGTTCTTTCCAAACAGGTTCCAGGAAGAGGAAACCCGAAGTGTGAGATCACAAGTCTATGAAGTGGAAGATATTTGTTGCTTCAGCCAAGGTGGAGAAACCCCTCTCTCAGCTCCATCTCCAGAAATGCTTGGGTTCGTGTGGTGCGCGTGAAAAAAAAAACATGGATATCGACCCCAAGAGCCTTCACAAACCGCTTGGATTGGACGACCGAGCCATTGATTTCATGGGACAAAACTGCCTTGGGTGTTCGATGGATTTTAGACTACAACACCTGCAGGTCAACCTCTTGTTTTGTGGTCCACCAGAACGCTTGGGTTGTCTTAATCTGTGCTGTCTGCGCATGGACGGATGAAGTGTCCATGAAGCAACCTGGCTTGGTCAAACCAGCCTCGGACTCCTTCAAGAACACATCATGGCTTGGTTCAAACTCACCATGTGACTCCCGAAAGGGGGACGCCTCTTTGGTGTTGGCCCTGCCCGAAGTCTTTCAGCTAAATCCCTTAGGAGGTCTACAAGTGATTCTTACATGTGTTCAAGGCATGTCACTATATGTCACTCTCTGGAGTGTCCAGATTACCAAAAGCACAACCTTGCACCAAAAGCTCCCAAGGTAGAAGTTTCCCTCTTCAGTGGATCCACCCTCCCAGACCCGAGTCTTCAGAGGCTGACTAGTACGAAAGAAAAGATCTACACTTCAAGTCAAGCAAAACCGCTGCAGGGCTGGGTGGTAGACCAATCCCAGCGACTGTCCAAAATGTGCTCCCCGTGACTACCATGGTGCATGTCACACAAGTGAGTTCCAAGCTGAACCCTTCGGCCTGGGCTGTGAGGAAGTTGAAGTGCGTCGAGGGGCCGATTCCCATGCCTTGGTCAGTAGACGCCACATCCGAGCGCGTCTAGAGGCCGCGAGGCTCCGGTAGAGGCTCCGGTAGAGGAAAGAAGCCATCCGATGCAAATGAAGAACCGAGCCAACCAAAGGAAAGACCCCGCTGACGAGCGTCCCGAAAAACGTGCGTCCGCGAGGTGCCGGTGCCCGTGCGACCGGCGGACCTTTCGACCGAAGTCGACATGGGCAGTCTGATGGAGGAGGCCAGCATCGCTGAAGAAAGACAGGAGTCCAAGAACTCTTCTTCAAGGACTTGACACTAGCAAGAACTCTTCTTCAGTACTTCTTGTCACAGCAAGGCCAGCTGTCCAAGAACTCTGATTATGTTTTTGGGAGCAAGAACTTCGACACTAGCTACATCATGGTCTCCTATTTGTCTGGATGACTGGGAGCCTGGCCCACCACATATCCCAGTTGCTGTTGTGTCCTGATGGATCGATTCACTCTGGGCGCTGGTGGTGCCTTCACTCTGTTTCTGCTCGAACCAGATTCACCCGAAACTTCGAATCCACATGACCTCCAGATCGACATGGACAGAAAAACCACTGGCTTGGTCTTCAGAACATGATCGAAACCACGGATGAATCTTCAGGGTCCAGGTGACCAGTCCTGCCATCCCGAAACACATCCACAGGTGTCTTACGTGACGAGTCCGGCTCTAAGCTTCGGAAACGGCCGGTTCGGCCGGCTCGCGGCCATGAGGGGGTCACACCACCCATCTGCGCCGCTCGCGCACTCGGCGTCCCAACGAAGCGAAGCGTGCAGCGTTTGGAAGTGTCCAGAGGTTCCAAATACCGCAAAGTCTCAAAGTCGCTGGGGAGAGAGAGAGATCCAGGTCCTGAGAATATCGAAGAACTTGGGGCTCAAGATCTTGTTGACAATCTGCAGGAAGCAAGCTTCTCGCACTCCTACAAATCGGCCGCACGGTGCGGCCGATTTGTATGCCCCGGTGGGCAATAACTCGTACATCCAGGTTCCCGACTTGGAGCGGAACGAATGGAACATGTCTGAAGGAAGAACCTGTGCAATTCCAAGGAGGGTCAAGTCAAGTGTTACACCCTCCATTGGGTGGCCAGAACACCTCCATTGTGTGGCCAGAACCTCCCACAACCCCCCTTGGCCTATCCTCATTCATCATGTGCTGCGGGGTGTGCCGGAAGTGGAAGATCGTTCAACCAACTCCGGAGGGTTCTCCAGAGCAAAGTCCAACATCAATGACGCTAGGCTTCCAAGACCATTTTTCAAACGGTAGACCTGGTGTGGTAAGGTTATTGAATTAATGGTGGTTGGAAGCCTAGGGATGAGATGAAGCAGCATGCAACTCCGGTGAGAGGTTGTGGCTGAGTAAAGTCACCTAAGTTAGTCAAGAATTCAGGTAGACTTGGCATTTGCCAGGTTGGCTGGTTTGTCTTGGTATCAATCACTCAAATTGATATATCTATCCCACCTTTCCTCCTCTGACATCTGCCAAAAGAGCCCCAACCTGAGGAAAAGAATCTCATCACCCTTTGGCAAATCAGCTTTATTAGTAGAGGAAAAGAAATGACCATCCTGTCTGGGTGTCCTAGCTGGAGATCCTGGAGAGTAGTGCAGGGCCATTGGATGGTACCAAACTCCAAAACCCATCGGAACCATCTCGAAACCTGCTTCTTTCTGTCTGGATCAGCCTCCAAGGCCTTCTCTCGAAGACCCAACTTCCCTTGCTCCTCGGCTCAGTTGCCACTTCGCCACGACCGCGTGGTTCGGGTCGTCCTCCCAACGTGCTTCGCGCAGGAGGATCGTCGATGGTCCGACGCTGATCGACGGGCGATCGACAGGACCCGTCTTCCCAAGGGGAACTCCGTCCAATCGCCGGAGTCATTGGTAGATGGTGGGGTTGGGCGAAACGTCCAGATTGGGTATATAGATATATTGGATGATATTGGTGGAATAGGCTGCCTGACCCTGGTGTCGGAGAACGTTGGATGACCAGGTCTGGCAGACAATCCTGAACTGCGGCATCACCTCGTCAAGTACTTGTGTTCAGCTGCGAGTGTGAAATGCTTGAAGCCTGGGATGCTGCAAAATGGTCTCACAGTCTTGCCTCATGTTTGGTGGGGTGGGCTTTGAAAGGTCACCTCAGATGTTTGCTTCTCACCGGCTCATTTCGATCATCTTCCAGGTGCAGAGTCCTGCGCTCAGTTGGTCAAAGCAGAGGTGCTCTCAGTCGAGCCCTGCGCGACCTCGGTGAGCGGTCCTTATCCGTGCTCTCCAAGTTCCACAGCGTGCGACCGCTGGGGACGGCGGCCTGGACGCACCCCACGTCGACGAAGCCGGCGACGAAGGCGGTGAAGGGACGAAGGGACGAAGGCTCGAAGCATGCCGGTGAAGGGACGAAGGGAGCAGGGGTCGGAGGGGGTGGACTTGGACTTGGGAATTGGGGAAAAAAAAGAGTTCCGGTCAGGGAGAGCACCAGGAGCTGCACCAGGAGGGTGGAGAGAGATGAAGCGGATCGCCGTCGAAGCAGAACTCAGGTTTTGAGCATCCGGGTTCCCTTGCCATCCGCGGCTTGGGAGTCTTAGAGTCAAATCAGGCCAACTCAAACGTCTCGTCTTAACTTCAAATACCCAGCAATCTCAAACCTCAGCACCGGAGCAAAAACTGGCCTCAAGGCCTGCCAGCCAGTCCTTGTCTTCGCCTCTTCATTTGCAATATGTTCGATCAACATTCCGGGCCTCTTCGATCGTTTTCAGCTCCTGCATGGTGCCTGGCAAGAGCTGCAAAGCCCACCATGGCGGGACCGCAACAGCTCGCTGCCCCGCGGTTGGCGGGATCGGTGTACAAAAAAAACAGCACGAATAGGAATTCAATGGTCTGCAGCTGCAGATAAAGGGGGTGGAGGGTCCAGAATTTTTAAGAGTAGACCAATCATCCACCAACGTTCCGGGCAGAGGGCAGAGGGCTTGTTGGAAGCCCCCAAAACGAGGGTGCTGTTGGTCGTGACCGTCCCTCAATAAGGCCTGCAAAAAGTAAAGACATGTGGCACCGAATCTTGAGGAAGTCAGCCAACATAAGAACCAAGACCCAGCCAAAAGGGCTGTCATCTCATGGTTGTTTCTCTTGGGGGCATTGGGATTGGTGTGCCTTAGATGCACTTCTGTTGGGAACGCGTTGAAGACCCAACGAGGGGACACCTATATAAACGTATGGCGAGTCGACGCCGCTTTTTGCACGGGCGCTCAAACCAGGAGGAAGCCCAACCCGAATTGGTGGGCAAAGCCGATTCGGAGTCTCAGAAACGTAACATGGCAATAGAAGTCAGAGTCAGAAATGGCCAGGGTAATGGTGCAGGTGCTAAAAGACCTGGGTCTTCTTAAGACCACCACCACCACCTCCAGGTGTCCGGACTGGGGATCTTGAGGGTCTCCTGGAGTTCTGAAGGAGAGAAGGAGAGAAGGTTCTGTGTGGAATCATCTCATACCTGGTATAGCTATCATACCATCTCATCATATCTGGTAGACTAGAGCTGTCATATGTCTGGGAGTTCAATGACCATTGATTTCATGGTTAAGAACCGCTGTTTTGCTGTGATTTTAGACTACGAAAGCAGGCCAACCATCATCTTTTCTACAGTAATGGTCTTAGAAGGCTAGGAAAACCGCATCGTACCATATCATACCATTTAACATATGATTCCTAAAATCCATAGCTTGACATACCTGGTAGACCCTGCTTATCATATCTTGGGTCATTTGGGTTGCTCAACAACCTATAGTCTGCTCTTTCTGTCTCTTCGTGGCACGAAGACTGAACAAGTCTGTATTGTCTACATGCGCAGAAACAGAAAAAAAAAAGAACGCATGGACTTCAATCCCACCCGAAAGTCCAACGCTTACAAGCTCGCAAGCTCCCACACCGGTGAACATCCCATACCCGCCCCACCCGATTCCGCCCATGCCCCGAACCGAACCGCCGCGGTAACTGCGCGTCGTCGCATGCGCCGGCCTCCAGGTCTCGTACCAGCTTCTGTGCATCCTCCGGCGTTTGATTCCCCGCGATCATCGCCTGCGGCGCGGTGTGAAACCAGCGAAGCCGAAAGCCGCGCTCGCCTCGCTGTTCGGTGCGCGAACTGAGCGATGTGAGGTGAGAGGCCACTTTTTGGCCTCCGATCGGGTGGAAGAGAAGTAGAGGAAGGTGCAGTCTTTATTTAAGAGACTGGCATGGTATGGCATGGTGACATAGCAACATATTATGAAGAACCAGAGGCTGAGTGGGGCATAAAGTCTTAGATCCATGTTGGGAACAGGTCATTCACTCTGTTCCAACCAATCTTAGCCGAAGAGTTGTTGCTGGCATGGGGAAATTGACCATGTCTCCTGTCATATTCTATTCATGTTCAGTCAACCAAACGTCCCCAGTCTTTTCAGTCAACCCACCCTCTGATGACGTCAACTCCTGGTCTCTTCCTCTCCCTCTTCGACCTTCGGAGCTCCAACCCAACCTCAAACGCAGGAACCGGGACTCGGGACTCCACGTCGACACCAAGGGTAACACTTTTTCCGGGTTAGTCATAGACACCCTGTCTGAGCCTTAGCCTGCTCGGGCCGACTAGAGCGGGTCCTGGGAGCCACCGACTTATCCACTGCAGCACCACTTCGAGACCAACGAACCCGACGGCGTCGGAACTTCCGCGACGATCGCGGCACCTCAGCGTGACAGCAGCTGAAGAGCTCCGATACGATGCCACAGATCTTCTCGCGCGTGAGGAGTTCCAATTCCTTTAAGAACTCCTGCGGGTGCTTGCTCGTTCGGTGCCCAAAACGCGACAAGGAAAGGACATGAGAGCCCAGTCATGACTCATTTTACCCCCATTATCGTGGTGGATTATGACTACTAGGTGGAGTAGTCATTGGAACTTCTGGGGAAAGGACCTGAACAGACCATCACTGATCGTTCGGTGCGATGCCAGCGTTCTTGGGCCGATCGCTGGCACGGAACAACAGCAGTCTCGGCCCTCTGCCACAACAGCACTCCGTTCGTAGCGTTCTTGTTCCTAGTCATGAGGAGCGTAGCCGCTCGTAATACTGCACTGGACACTCGGAACTTTCATGTCAAATAAAGCTCCAAAAGAATGCTTCCCGCCTAGAGGAAGAGGGCCTTTAAAGATTCTACTGGGCCATCCCACAGAGAGCTTTTCTTCCACCAAACGACCAACCTGACAGACCCTGCAATGAGCCACAAAGGATGGCAGGTCACCCTGAAGGGAATTCAATGGGCTCCGCCGCTCCGCCTCGATGGACACTCGCAGAAGGAAAAAAGAAACAAAAAAACTAGTAACAAGTGCATCGCTACTAGTAGTAAGGACGCTACTAGTAGCTCCTGGCCTTACTACGAGGAACAAGAACGCTACTAGGAGCAAAGCAAAGCGCTACTAGTAGCAA